GGACCAAACTGCCTTGCTAGCTTGTGCTGTCAGTGGAAATCTAAGCTGCCACCAGCTTGATGCACTGCCATAATAAATACCCAACAGCCTGGCTGTCCAAGGTGAAAGAGGTAAAACAGCAGCTCATTGGAGGGGTTTTAAATGATTTGTCCAGCCACGCAGACCCCCTGACAATCCAGAGGGGCATAAAAGCCCATCAAACCTAACAAGGTTACTCTTTTGGAGTAACCTCCCATGGTGACACATTCTCACACTCCCCCTAACATCTTCTCTTACTCAGCCTGCTCTAATATCTGTGTGATTAAGATAGCCAGAGGCAGCTTCCTTTTATAGCCACTTTCCACAGGAGCAGTTGTGCCTTCCAGCTCATTTAGTGGGTGGTTAACCAGAAAATAGAGGTAGCTGAATTTCTTATTGGTCTTGGCTCTGAGATAACAGAACCAAAATTAAACATGAACCAAAGTCTCTGGCCTCCACCGCATTAAATGTAGGTAACACAGGTTTTCCTGTAAGTGCAGAGTCACCGAGGTATGACCTACCAAAGTCACCTACAGAGTTTCAAAATATAAATGACCATACCTGAATCTTCTCTTTTTCCTCCCTAAGGCATGTCAGCAACTCCACAAGGAGAGGCCCAGACATGTCTATTGTACATTTTTTAAAGCCCCCAAAATAATTCTGAAATTTTCCACATATCAAGATGGCCTGAATGACTCTTGGAGAAAGTTCAGAATATAAGATGGAGGATATCATCCTGGGATGAGCTGTGAAATTCCTGGTTGGAAAGTTTTAGAACCCCATCTATAATAGATTCGGTTATGGTTCCAAAGGCCATGTAAGAACCAGCACCAGGATGTCTGCATAAGAATCACTTAGAGCTTATCAAACTACAAAATAATGGTAGGTAAGAGCTAGGAATCCGGATTTTAACAGACTTCCCAGGTAATTCTGATGTGCAGTCAGGTTTGCGACTGTATGTATATAGTACTCAAAATACCATGTTAGAGCCCTTTATGCATTCACTCATTCATTCAACAAACATTTACTGTGTACTTACTGTGTGCCAAGCACCAAAGATTAAATAATGAATACAACTCAATACCTGCCCTTGAGAGGTTCACAAGTCTAATGAGGGATGCCAATCCTTTTGACATGGACCTTATAACACAGTGTGGCAAGTACCTGCACAGACTATGTGCAAACGGCTGTGGAGAGAAATTATTTAATTCTACCTAGTGAACCAAGGATAGGCTTCAAAAAAAAAAAAAAAAAAAAGGTGACATTGGAGCTAAGCCTTGAGGAGAAGCGAGGAGTTTGCCAGTTGAAGAGGGAAGGGAAGTTCCAGGTAGAGGTCCAGAGAATGAAAGTGCATGGCATGTCTGGTGACAAGCATGGCCAGAGCAGAGGGAGTACGGACAAAGTGGACAATGGCTGGGGGGACAGGCGAGAATCAGATGGGGAAGGGTGTGGTTTCATGCTGAGGGGGTCATCTCTTGTTTTTAAGCATGATAATATGATCAGATCTTTATTTTAGATAATTTTGGTGTCAGTGTGCATAGGAGAGAGATATAGACAAAAAAATTAATTAGGATGATATGAGAGATGAGGAGGTCCTAAAATGGGAAAGTGGCCGTGGGAATAGATTTGAAAGATATTCCATAGGTAGAATCTACAGAATTAGTAAGTGTTGCTTGAAAAAAAAAAAAAAACCCACATATACATATACATACACACACAAAAACAAGAACCCCCAAAAAAACCTATTACAGAAAGACGTCCTTTCTCAGTACATCTTTGTCTCTTCTCTGCTTCATTCTCACCTGATCTTGTCATCTCACTCTGAAGAAAGTATCATTTGCCCTCAGTCCTCTCACAATTCATGAAAAATGAAACCAAATTTCCACTGTCCCAATCCTTTCAAATGAGCTTAGGAATGAAGACTGTCGACTGCTGTCTACTGAGACAGGAAGGCCCTTAAGTGATCCTCTTTAGCCCTACAACCTCCTTGTTGTACACAATGAAGAAATGAGGCTCAGAAAAATAGGTGAACTTCCATCATCACACAAATGGTTTTAAAAAAAATACGTACTATATCTCCTGTTAGTACCATTTGAACCTTTCAAAATGCATGACATTCACCACCTGTGTAGTGCTCCTGTCTGCCTTTCTTTAAAGATTCTAAGATAAGCTAAAATCTATTATTATCTCTGTTCTCTGCTCTTTTTGATAATCGAGAAATGCCATGGTTTCTCTCACACTGAAAAGGAGTCCAATGGACATCTAGTGGTTCACTTAGATAATTGAATCTCTAATAGTATTATCTATCACTGTATTTAGTGTGTTAAATTTGATTAGCATATTAACTAATTGCATTATATTAGTGGTCTCAACCCTTTCAGATCTGATGATCTGTTTGTATAGCTATTTTGAATCACCCTCCTTTTCTATCCTGAAATGAAATTGATGTAAAATACAATCTACACAAGTAATTGCAAAATTTCAATATAGTGCCCTTTTATTTTCCTTTTACTTTTATAGAAAATAAAAGGAAATTAATTGCTAATAAAATAATACATTTTTCATATTTAAGTACTTGGCATGGTCACACCTGAAAACATGATGTATGTCAGTATGGTCTTAATACTTATTAATGTTATGGATTTCTGTGAATACAACACTTGCAAATGTAGTCAGAACAAGTGTGTGAAGTCAACAACTACAATTTATTGTGTAATGTTGTTTTCTGAAATGGTGACCAACTTTTAGTAAAATTTAGAAACAAAACAAGTACAATCTTTCCTTGTTTATACAGCATTTTAGAAAAATTACAAAAATAATTTGTGACAGATGTAGATGAGGCGAAGAATTGAGTGTCTTGAGGTTCTGTTCAAATACCAATCTTTTCACTACCAAGAAAAATTCTGGCTAAGTATTTCTAAAAAAGCCATAAGTCGAGTATATTTACCAACACTTCCCTGTGAAGTAGAGTAGATGCTACTCTATTCCATTATTCCTCTATAAGTGAATATAGAATATCCTGAACCTTAATATATGGGTTAACAACGAGGTTTAGCATAAAGCTACTTTGAAAGGTGGAGAGACTAGAAAAAGGATAACTCAATTAAAGGGGCCGCTGAAACCTAAAGAATGACATGGTGGTAAGCTATCTGGGTTTTCCCTTTTTCCTCATATATCCCCAGACTGGATGCGCTGGAGTAAGCCTGGCAACATGGATGCCAGTAATGTGCAGAAAATTAAGTCTCAACAAAAGCCTGCCTCTCTTAGGCTAAGAATGGGAAATGAGAAAGCTAGCAAACCCCAGTAAACCTTTAGATCAGTGAGTTTGAGACCTAGCCTGCACGCAACATGGTAAAACCCCAAGAGTCCATCTCTACTAAAAAAAAATACAGAAAATTAGCCAGGTGTTGGTGCGTGGGTGCCTGTATCCATAGCTACTCGGGAGGCTGAGGGCCCAGGAGAACACTTGAGCTTAGGAGACTTGATGCTGCAGTCGAGTCGAGATCATGCATTGCGCTCCGCCTGGGCATCAAGAGTTTTAAACTCATCGTCTCAAAAAAAAAAAAAAAAAAAAGAAATATACCACTTGCTGGCAATCAAACATCCAACAGAAACAAACAACAACCAAACCAAACAAACAAGAAACTAATGATCCACCCGATCAGTTCATACCAGCACCAAAGGCCAAGTGGGGACCAAGACTCTCCACTCTCACTAAGACTCTCATAATGTAGTACCCAAACCGC